AAATTATTATGAATCTTTATTTAGAAAGAAATACACATTGGTTATTCATGAGCATACATCAGCAATTACACATGTTTATGGGAATAGGACATTATTAATATACCATGTAAGGTGATATGTGCTAGAAATGTGTAAACCTCTATCAGTGAGTCTGCCCGTTAGGCGGGGGCACCATTGCACAAAGCAGTGTCCCACTTTGTCCCCCAGAAACATACCCCTGGTCCCCCCTTGGGCTTATTAGCAGGTGGTCACCCTAATCCAAGCCATGGTCAGAAAAACAGTCGAGGTTTGATTAACCAGTAGAATCCAGGAAACAGTCCAGAACAGATCAGACTAACAGAGCAGTAAGAGGCACAGCAAAACTCGGGATCCACAAGACAGAAACGGGTCACAATCGGTTAATCAGAACTATAATCAAAACGTTAGAGTTACTCTCACCAAACTGCTCGAATAATCTGGCACTGGAGGCTTGAAAACAAACAGTATATATATGAGCTGGAAACAGGTGTATCATATAAGCAATGATGAGAGAACAGAGTTAAACATGTGGATGGAATGAGCAATCAAGCCAGCCACCAGTGCCAGGACCATGTTCACTCGCTCATCTAAAATCACTATATAGTGCCCTATATAGTGATCAGTGTTGGGAACGTTACTTTGAAAAAGTAATTACAAAAAGTAGTTATAGTTACAAGTTACTTCTCCCAAAAAGTAACTGAGTTCCTAACTTAGTTACTCGACGTAACACCGGTATTTCCATGTGGAAAACGCTGCTTTGCTGCTGGAGTCCTCCTCACTCTCCCTCTCTCTGTGTGTGCTGTACGTTAACACCGTAACAGCCAATCCCATCCTCCCCTCTCTCATGACAAGGCGCGCACGAGTCCTTTCATGAAAAAAAGGTTAATTGTGCGACCTGAGTAATGTGCAGTAACAATGGTAACAATGGTAACTGCGTTATAGTTACAGTCAAAGTAGTAACGCCGTTACTTTCAACGCTATTACCCCCATCACTGATACTGATTAGGGTGGACGTGCAGACACAACTATAGTGTTCAATTGATTGCTCTAGATTCTTGGTGAGCAACCTTAGGTGCATCACTGCCACCCTCTGGTAAGGAGTGTAACAGCTTCCTTAGCTTTTGTAGATTTGTACTCATAAATGTGTTTGTCCTTGTATGGGGTTTCTTATTCTAAGTTAGTGGGAGCATGTAGATACAGAATAAAAATGCCCTAAGATGGGTATTTGGGGAATGCAACCTGTGATTTTTTGTGGACTCTGTTGTGAAGTTACCTACTGACACAAAAAAGGTCCAAAGTATATAAATATGATTCCCTGTTGGCTGTTGAAGGAGACAAGGCAATCCAGTGTCCACCGAGCATTAGAGTCCTCAGTGAACTCAATTAGAAGGTATTAGACATTAAGGGCATTAGAGTTGGCAGCACTGAGACCCGTTGGACCTTGAAAGGCGTTGACCTTCAAGTCGAGCCAAATGTTTCAATCCTTATCCTGTTACACTGAAAATCACTTTCTTACCACACAATAAATCAAGGAAAAAAGCTCTTTCAATTAATTTATTGTACATCAGATTTAGTTTTGTCCAGGTTACATCTTGGTGTTAAACTTTTACGAGACTAATCTGTTGTAAGCTGACTGTTAATCAGCAGATAAAGACAACTTTCTCATCTTTTATATTTTATTTTTTATCTAAAGTTATCTAACTTACCGGTAGAAGTTATTTTCATAATTGTATTTTTTTATGGTTTTTTTTACAGCAATGTATTAAAGGTACCAATGAGAAGTGAACCATTGTTTAGCATTATTTAGTATACTAATTATTTTTTAAATAACAGTTGTCACTAATACCTACAACTACACGGTTCTAAAGCTTATCTTTCTTTTCTGGACACTCTCAAACTGCCAGCTTCACACGCAATCTGCTCATTTTAATTGAGCGGAACCAATCCAGTTTGCATGTCTTCACAGTTACCAAAGCAATCTTTGTAGATAGTCTGCAACATGCCCACTTATTGCACGCACATTAAAATGAATTGTAGAGCAAATTAGCATCCCTTGTTCTGAATCTTTGTAGATCAGGCTCTAAGCATGTTGGTCACATGAGACTCCTATAAAACATATTTATATTTGCGGTGGCCATGTGACAAAATGTGGAAAAGTTCAAGGGGTATAAATACTTTTGTAAGCCACTGTAGGTCACAAGCTTTTCTCTTGGACCAAATTTTTTTAATTGCCTTCCTCTTATGAATTCTTTGTGTTTGGTTATTAAAATCCCGTAGGCTTTTTTTTTCAGCTCACCTCCTGCTTTAATCAAACTGCTCTGTAATTGGCTAAGCCCACTTAGCTTTCTGGGACAATAAGGTCTATTTCTCTTTAAAGCAGTTTAACATGAATTGTTCTAAACTTCATAGACAGCAACAGACAGTCCATTAATGGTTTGACCAACAATTATAACATAATATAGATACTAAAAACTTAATTGATCCCCTATGGTTTTATGCATAAAGCTCCTTGTTCCAGCGTAATTGCACAGACAAGCATCATGGAGGAGTATGGAAGGTTAAAAGGGACAAAATTGAACACATAAATAGATCTATCATTAAATAGATAAATGTAAATATAACAGGAAATAAATTTTTATACCTCGAAATAATGAATTCTATAATGCAATAAATAAATACACCCTTATAATGACCATTTAAATTACTATATCTACCATTCATGATTTAATACTTCATTGAATAATGTTTTTTTAATAAACCATGCAATAAATAGGTTTACCATGAAATTATTAAATGTATAAAAAAATAAGTGTTTTATTAAATGTTCCATTAAATATAGAAATGTTTATTTATTTAATATTGTATTAAACTATTTATTTTATTTTTTATTGATTAAAATGGGAAACTAAATAATTAAATATAACATTAAATTATTAGAAATACAGTTTTAATTATGACAATAATTAAATACAATTGTTCATGAATTAAATTATTTAATCATCTGCTGCGCAACGCCATGAAACATTAAATATATTTCTTAAAAAAGGACATTTGACTTTTTATTGTCATAATTTAAAGTGTACATTTTAATGTTTAATTGGGCATTTAATTATTTACTTCTACATTTCATAATCTAATGGTGCATTTAATTGTTTAATGCATTATTAAATTAATAAACAGTATGTTTAATTAGTTAATGGAACATTAATGAAACACTTACTTTATTCATTTAAAATGAGTTGAATTTAATATGATTTATTTATTGAAGCATTTGATTATTTGATATGTTAAAATTATAGTGGAGGATTTTCTCGAATAATAAAATTTTTTGAAAAGAAAACTTAAAAAAAAAAAAAATGCACATGTACAACCCTATACCCGCTCCTCAGAGGGAACGCAGATAAAACGCCTGTGAGAGCATTCAGGAGCCCGTTTGTCCTCATGCACACTTTGTTTATAAGTTGCTGTTTGCATCACTCATGCAATATTACTTTCTAAAAGAAGATTTGCAATTTTTCCACTATGTCGGACTCACCACCGGTAAGTGAAAATGAGGACGAGCACGTATGACGGCCTTACGTAAACATATCACCAGAATGATTGACAATTAGGAGGACCTTTTATTTAAATGTTCCATCTGGAAAAAGAACATCCTCCACTAATCCTTTAAGTAAATAAATCATAAATTTTAAGCATTTAGTTAAAAAACACTAATGTCACATTTATTTATTTATTTAATTTTATATTTCTTTGTTCATTTATTTATATCATGATGCATTTATTTATTTAAGACCATTATTTAGACTAGGGGTCTTTAACGTTTTCCAGGCCAAGGAACCCCAAAATGAGGGCAAAATGGAACAGGGACCCCCTAATTATATATATTGCATCAAATTTTGTTATATCAAACTGATCCTATAGTCACTCTATTACTGATGGAGTAATGTAACAAAATAAATTTCTCCCTGGGATTATTAAAGTATTTCTGATTCTGATTCCTGGTTGATGGGACAGGTGTTGTGAANGAAAAAGAACATCCTCCACTAATCCTTTAAGTAAATAAATCATAAATTTTAAGCATTTAGTTGAAAACACTAATGTCACATTTATTTATTTATTTTATTTTATATTTCTTTGTACATTTATTTATATCATGATGCATTTATTTATTTAAGACCATTATTTAGACCAGGGGTCTTCAACGTTTTCCAGGCCAAGGACCCCCAAAATGAGGGCAAAATGGAACAGGGACCCCCTAATTATATATATTGCATCAAATTTTGTTATATCAAACTGGTCCTATAGTCACTCTATTATAGATGGAGTAATGTAATGAAAGTAATTTCGCCCTGGGATTATTAAAGTATTTCTGATTCTGATTCCTCATGATGGGACAGGTGTTGTGAATGAAACGGTGCCCAGATTGAAAGAGCTCCTGTGTGTCTCTGAATGTGTGCATTGATGACTGAAAGACATCTTCTGCCTCCATTTATCTGTTTACTACAGTGTGTTGAATTCATGTTAATGTTTATTTAAAGACATTTCAATTAGTGGAAAAAATTGCAGGGAGGAGTATAAAAAAAAAAGTAATGAACCAAAGCCTTTGCGACCCCCATGCAGTACGTCCGTGGACCCCCTAGGGGTCGTGGACCCCCGGATGAAGAACTCCGATTTAGACCCTTTGAACCTTCCATAAAGGAGATATGTACTAACTCTGCTTTATTGTATTTTAAACTGTTTACATCACCAGCCACTTAACCTTTTAGATGTTAAAAATCACTAAAAATGACATTTATTACAGTATCATTTTCTTTTTTGTTTATTTTTATTACAAAGACCTTTTGATTGGCTATGTATTAATTATTGGGTATCATATTTCTTCAGTGGCAGCTACATTACCTAAATAATTATAACAAGTAGTTTGTAAATGAAAAAAGTCTCACAGTCAGTGGGTTTGTGTTGCTCTGACAGGAAGAGGGTCTAACTGGCATTCAGCCACATCAAAATCTGCATTCCTAACACCTCAGTGTATGGAAATGTAAACATATTTCTGTTATGCTCTCAGAAGCTGTGAAACTGGAATTTTATTTACATTATTTTAGTGCTCAGCTGTCAGTCAAACACTCTGCTCACCCACTGAGGGGCCTGGACTTTACACACCTTTATCTGTTTTTATCTCATTAGATTCAGCTATTTATCACTTTAGTCACAGACTTACAGTAAAACTCTTTTAAACTACTCAGATTAGTTTTAGTTGTCCATAGTTTTTGCTCCTTAGGAAAACATTAGTAACTGAGTGAGCTGAATAAAGAGGGGGCAGAAAAAGAGGAAAACTTTTTTTTATGTCTTTCTGAAAACCAGCAGCTTGTGTTTCAGCAGAGATTTATCAAACGGAATGAGTGACAAACTTTCCCTGGAGGTGTATGGAAATAAATTTGTTCCAATGTTTTTGAAGCAAAGAACACAATAAAAAAAATAAAAACAATTAAAAAATAAGACGTTAAAAAATGCATTGGAAAAAAGTGTATGGGAGTAATTTCCCTGTGCATGGAACATATATTGTTACAGTCTGCTATTTTTCAGATTTTTAAATGCTCAGATTTTCTTTCCAATTTTTAAATATATATACAGATTTTTATTTTGTTGCTTTTTTTGTCTGTTTTTGTTTTGTTCTCGTTTGCACTGTCAATATACAGATTTAAGCCTCTTTACTTCTGGGTGGTCTGTTCACAGACCAATAGAAATACTGACGCTAAAGTTAAAGCATAACAGACATCTTTCATTTAGTCCACACACACAACAAGCCAGACGTTTAAAAATCAGGAAATCAGGGATTTAGAAACAATGCAATAAAATAAAATAAATAAAAATGTTTTTTTTTATTAAAATAAAATTTGAGAAATTATGATCTAATCAAAACTGTAAAAAAAAAAATCTGACTAATATTTGAAATAATTAAAAATATGAATAAAATAAAAACAAAAAACATATTGGTTGAACTTTTTTATTCAAACTCTTTTTAAGCCTTTTTTACTTTAATTGAGAAATCCCTACTAAAGTTACATTTTGTTGTTTGCTGTCAGTAATATTGGAACACATTTCTCTCCCCTCAGCAGGGAGCTGCTTATTTCTCCCATTAGTCTTTACTTTACAGCTGCAAAGAATTTAACGCCTTCAGGTCAACGTGACCCTCTGGCTGTTTGACCCATAAAACGCTGCTGGAATAGAACCATGACCCAAACTATTTGTGGGGGAGTATAAATATTACGAAAACCCCTTTAAACCACTGGTATACTAGTCAGAAAAACAACATCCAGTTTATTTGATTTGCGTTTAAGTACAGAAAAATGCTTTATTATGATTAATTTTAGTGTTTAGTTGAATTTCTGTAGAGGATCTCTGGACCTCATCCCTGCTGATTCAGCATCACGACTTCAACCTTTGAGAAACAAGCAGCCATTTTTCCCCTGAGTGCAGCTAATTAAAAGTCATTTAAAATGCAAATTATACACAACCTTTTCTTAAACCTCAACTAATTTTGGTTCAATATCTACTATAGGAAAAATGTGGTCATTTTAAAGCAAGCAATAGCTCATTTGTGTTTTTAAGGATTTAAGATAAAGAAAAAAATCTCTGAAATGGAACCGCTTTCTTTTCTTCAATAGGATATACAAAAATATATATTTCTGTTTCTTATCTTTCTTTCTGTTGCAAAAATTATTTTCATTTACTTTTTTAAAATCCTGCTAAAGCTTCTAAGGCTGGTATTTCTTATCATGTTATTTTCAAAACCTTGAGTTGGTTCTTTATATTTTTTTGCCGCTATTAAGATCCATATCAATAGTCTAAAAGGTTCCCATTTACTTTATTGTATAATTAGGTTAAATCATTTGTAATAAGATATTTTATTGTTGATTCTTTCAGTATTTAATACAAAGAGGACAATAGATTGTTAAAATATAATGAGGTGGTATTTTTAACCTAGCATATTGTAAAAAAACAAACAAATAAAAAACATTTAAACCATCTAACCTCATTTGGTGTCTTGTGACCCTCAGAGGGATCCTTAGCCCCACTGTGGGAAATTCTGTCTTAGATGAATTTACTACTAAAATGTGTATGAAAAGGAGGGAATGAAACATTATTCAGACTTAATACACAGCATGTGCATTTTCAGTACATCATCCAGTAATTTAATAATAATAATATGATTTCTGTGTGTAAAAGCCCCATGTTTCCTCTGTAAATGTGTTTCTATGGTGACCAGTGACAGCTATAAGGTCCTCTGCAGCCAGAGCTGCAGAGAAAGAGGTGCATCTGTGCTGCGATACAAAAAGCTGCTCTCTGCAATCTGGAGGGATTTGGGATTCTGCTCTCAGCCCCAAAAAACAAGATCCTCCTCTGTAGTTTTTGTGGAAATCCACTTTTCCTGGACCCAGTTAGTCAGTTTCAGATGCAGTGGAAAAGAGAGGAAACACATAATTCAGAGAAGCCTTTAGGAAATAAATGGATGAGTGGGTGCTAACAGAGACACGTGTATTCCAGAGAAAAGCTTCATCCGACTGTGTTTCCTTCCTCAGGGAGCGCATGCGGCAGTCGGCCATGTACGACCTGTGTCTGGGCATGAGGCAAATAAGCCAAGAGTTTGTCCGATTGCAGCTGACCTACGACGAGTTCCTGTCAATGAAGGTGCTTCTGCTTCTCAGCACGGGTAAGCAGTCAGCCTTACTGCACACAGCACTAAAAATAAAACCAACCTGGTTTAACTGATTCTTGTAATATCAACAAATAAAAACATAAAAGTCTGGAAAATGTGTCTGAAATCCAGAGGACTATTGACCCAGAGACGGCCAATTTGGCTTTCGCTTTTATGTCTTTTTTTTTGCTTTAGTGTTTCGGAGCCTCAAAGGAATCTATTAGTCAATCTAATTAGTCAAGCACATATAAACACAAAATAAGTTTTTTAATGAAGCTTTTCATTTTAAGACAGGAGAAAAAGAACCTGATAATTGGTTTGATCAACTTCAGCAGCAAAAGCTGCCTAAAGCATTTGGGATACTGTGCGGGAGTCTCCAGGTCACCAACAAAGCCTGGTTTCAGAACGTGGGATTAACCATTCCTGAGTTTCCCTTGTGCTTTTAACATTTGCACACTTTACTTCATAAATTCATTCCTGATTCCTCTTTTGATGACTTGAAGAAAAAAAGTTTAGTTTTGCCAACATGTTGAAGTGGCTACGTGCTGGAGGCATTGGTGCTGCGGACGGGCAGAATTTGGACTTTGGTTCAGTTCTTTATGCCCATCAGATCCTGAAGCAGCTGGTATATTTGACCTCTGGACTGAGGAACGAACGACCAAGGAGGATGTTGGTATTAAAGAAAGATAGATCAGTGAGATTTAAGTTGATGTTCCCATGGGAAGGTGTTAGCATGGGAAATGCCTTCCTTTGTGGTTTCATTCATAGAGTCAAGGTTCCGTTTGTTCTCCATTTGCAGTTCTGACATCTTCAGCTCTCCTTCAGCTCTTCTGGAAAGGATTTCAAAAAGGCTTGAGAGGGTTTTGTGGGGATTTTAACCTTTTCTTCTGAAGAGTAGTCATGAGGTCACATACTAGATAAAAGATAAGATAATATGATGATTTACCTTTATTCAATTCATTTCGGTTTATTTATATACAACACATGTCATCTCAAGGCCCTTTACAGAGACAATTCAACCAGATAATACAGTCAAATTGATTCAAAGTTTTCTATCTAAGGAAAGACCAGTTGATTGTATCGACTCATTGACTCAAAGGTTATCCCTCACACCAAACATACTCATAGTGACAGTGGAGAGGAAAAACTAAATTTTTAACTTGATGACCTCACACTGGAGAAATTCACTCTCTGCATTACCCTATCCCCTTGGGGAGCAGTGGGCTGCCACTGTTGGTCCCCAGTGAGCATTCCGGGATCAAGGGTGTGGCTCAGGGAACCAGAGTGGCATTCTGTGGGAGTTAAACAAAGAACCTCCACGACCCAAGCACCATGCTCTAACCACTAGGCCACAACTCCCCCAACAAAACTAGCGTTGGACAAGAAGGTGTGTTAATTATTCTCATGTTTAATCAGGTTAGGTGTCAGACCTGGTTTAGGCTAGAAAACCATTCCCAAACTATGATGCCCTCAAACTTTATGGGCTGTTCAGACAGGACCTGGTCTGCATTGCACTAGCCTGGCTAGTTATCTGGGTAGAAGCTTTTGGTGCTGGAAGAAAGAGGTCCAGAGAGCGGATTAAGGCCTTCGGGCTTGGAAAGAGGTCTGTTTCTTTAGCAACTATAGTCACAATTTTGTGTAGTATACGTTACATATAATTCAATTCAGCTTATTTATATAAGGCCAATTCAACACATAATCTCAAGGTACTTTATGAAGACAATACAATCAGATCATACATTCAGATTGGTTCAAAGTTTTCTATCTAAGCCAAAAAATTAGCTGATTGCTTCGTCACATTGCCTCGAAAGCAATCCCTCACACCAATCATGCTTGTAGCGAGAGTGGAAAGGAACAACTCCCTTTTAACAGAAAGAAAACTCCAGCAGGAACAGGCTCAGTGTGAGCGGCCATCTGCTGAGGTTGACTGGGGTTCAAGGAGACAGAAGCAGATATAGAAAAAGAAGCATAGATAAGAAACGCACAGGCAGCCCCCTTCCGGGAAACACACAGCGCGGTAGATGAGCCCTGAGCCAGCTCTCATATTCATAAAGCTGTAATTATTATAACGCACATGGTTTTTAGCATTTCCTTCTTTCGCTGAGAAAAGCAAAGGCTGACACAGTCGGTTCCATGCCGTTCCCCTGACACCTTCACACCCAGACGCCTCCCTCTGACTGTCTGACAGAAAGGTTAGAATCATCGCTCCTAATGTCTGCACTGCTTCTCATCACCATGCTGGACCCAGTGCCGTACGATGCTTCTGGATCGCCACAGCACTGCTATGTAGCCCTTACCATGCAGCTAGCACGCAGTCTCACTGTTTTTGTAAGGTTTGTAGTTCTGTAGATCTTCTGCAGAAAGTTGGAGATCTCTGCCTATAATATTTCTGATAATGCAGCATAGCGTTACGCTAGCTGTCAATATTTGGTTGAGGTTAGAGGATCCAAATGCAGAGGCAGAGGTGAGTGCTTGCAGTTTTAATGATTAAACACAGGTAACTGAGGCAGGAATCCAAAAATCCAACTTAAAATGTAAAACCTAACCAGAACCATGGAGACATCAGGGCAAACAAGCTCGAGTAGTCAGAGAAAGATGAGGAGAGACGAGGAACCAGCACTGAGGAACTGCACAGCGAGAGTATTTATGGTTGACTGCACAATGGGAGGACTAACGAGCTGATTGGGAGCAGGTGTGAACAGAAGCGTCTAGGAAAAGAGTGAAGGAAAAGGAAACCAACACAAGAGGGCAACAGAGAAAATCCCAAGAGCTCAATTACATCCAAAAACACAACAAAATAGTAATTAAACCAATAAAACTAGAAAACAAAAAACATGAATCAACATGAAACTGAAAACTCAAAGAAAACTTAACAGAACCAAGACCAAAACACTAACACTTTTTAGCTAAACAGTATGGATGGTTGGGGGAAAGGGGAATGCTTTAAATAAAAAGAGGTCAGAGTTCATCCATCCATTTTTTGTCAACTTATCTCTAGTGGGTGGTGAGGGGTGCTGGTGCCTATCTCCAGCTGGGTCAGAGTTCATTCACCAGAAAAAATCTGAAAGTTAACAAACTTTCCCGACAGATTATCGTGTCCTGCAGGTGCACTCTTGGTAGTTTTTGTGTTTTTTGCTTTGTTTTTGCCCAGTTAGTAAATAAAGAGTCTCATGTATATTTCTATAGAAACGCCACATAACCGATACTGAGCATGGGGCAAACAAGGAAGTATTGGGGCTAAGCTAGTTAGCACCTCCATGTGGTCGTTGTGAAAATAATTGAATAATAAAGAAATGTTTCAGAATTAACAAAAGCCCCAAAAATATCTGATTCCAAGTGGAAAAAGACTGGAGCACTTTGGGAAATCAAGCTAAAGCTGCCAAAGCGTTCAGCTGTAGTCGCTAAGTTGATGGATGCGAAGTAAACGTCCTTATTAATACTGATACTAGTGATAGAAAAGATTATCTTAGTCTCTACAGTCTGAGAACAAATAAAAAGAGGGAGTAGAGTAGATAAAATGTTTGACCAAAGTAACAGCAACAGAAATTTATTTTTTGCTCAAGTAATACTAGAAAGTAGTCATCAAATAAAAACTCAAGAATGATGAATTTCTTGGTAAAATTGCTACTCAAGTACTCTGTAATTGTTTGCTTGTTTTATTTCACCTTTAAAAAGATGTTTTTTGGTCTTTTTTTTTCATTTAGGCATATAATGTTACAACTATCAATCTTAAACTTTTTTAGCAGCACTGTGTCTCTTTAATTTGTCTCTGTAATTTATGTTTAATTCTTTGATTTCTTTTCTTTATTATACAAATAAATTAGAGCAGATCTAATGGGGATCTTTGAGGAAACCTCCTCTCTACAGAAGCAGGGTGTCGATAAGGTGTTTGGTGTTCTGCTCCAGAACTCCTCTCTCTCTCTCAGGTCACACTCTGATCTGAATCCTACTAATCCGGTAACAAAGATCCGAACTGTGAAAACAGACATGAAGGCATGAGGAGCAACAAAAAGGGAAAAGTCAAGCAAAGGCTGACGTTCTGCTGCGGTTCCTTCAGTTTTATTCCACCTTATCGCCACAGAAAGTCTCCTTCCCACCCACGGCGTCTCACGGCATATTTGAAAAGAACTGTTTCTCTTTAACATTCAATAACGTTCCAGCAGATAAACACGTCTCAGCCGTCACCTCTCACCCTCTAATTTAGGAGAAAGTCCTGCTGATGGTGAAAGTAGAACTGAAACACAGGAGCTGACAGGGTTTTATTCACAGTTCGCTTGAAAAAGTGTTTGTTTTGTCATGAGACAAACTTCCAGGTTTAATGTTAGGATTTTACTTGATAGATGCACAGAGAGCAGCAGCTCATTACTGTAAGCTAACGAAAATAGCCAACATTTATCTGCCGAGTCAATGCTTTGTGCTGCCAGCCTCAGCTCCTCTGGTTTCTGACAGGTTTACATCCAAAGACAGAAATTTAGCTCATTCTGTTCAGAAACTAGCTGAGCAGCAGCTTTCAGGTCGTACCAGAGACTCTTGACTTTGACTGGGCCGTTTCATCTTTGGAACAACCTTCCAAGGAAACCTTTTCATCCCATTCTCTCCTAGGTTCACACTGCAGGCCTTGATGCTCAATTCCGATTTTATTATCAAAATCCGATTTTTTTTTACGTTGCCGTTCATATTTCCAAATATATGCGACTTGTATGTGATCTTCTGTGAGAACTGCAGTCATACAACGCAAGTGTCCCGCATGTACAGTAGAGGACGCAATGACGTCAAAGGCCAGCATGCTCTTTTTTTCCAGAAGTAAACATTGATGGTAGTGCAGGCGCGCATCTAGCGGTCTTTTCCAACCTTAAAAACTCATTCTTTTCAAAATGTTTAAACATAAATACTGCTCTCCGCATCATCATCTGCCATGGTTGTTGTTTTTCTTGCTGCTTTTGCGTAGCAAGACACATAATAGTGACCTTTGTTGGGTATTAATGACGGTAAATCCGACGTGGCCGTTCAGACAG